TGCAAGCGTAGTTTGCCAAGAATTCGAAAGTCACTGAAAAGACAAAAATGTGGAAGTTTGAGCTAGATCACAAGGAGGAAGATGATGACTTTGGTTTCAGGCAGGTCACATCAGAGATAATGGTGGTCCTTCATGGCAGTGTCATGAAAACATCTGAAATTACAGACTGGAATTTAGGTGAGGACGCGGAGCATATCCCAGAATCTGTTCCATTCATTGTGGGGGGAAAAAATTAGTCTCAAGTGAAGCCAGCAGAGGAGTCAAGGCTTAACCATGGGGGAATAGCTACCATTCAGCTAAGATTATAATATTTTAGATAAGATTGAAGAAGATTCTAATTGTAGCTACTAGACATGAATGCCAGTGTGTATAAAGCTTTTAGGGTTAGGTAAGAGAGAGGGTAGCACACTGATATCATGTATCTGAAACAGATTCATGTCCACTGTGTACAGTGAGGCATTATCCATATTACTTCAGGAATGTTAGATATTTTAAAATTAGAGACAGGCTATCTGACCTAATATCTACCAATTGAGATTATTTAAATTGCATTTAATTGTGTTTTCACTGATTTCTTATTTCATCCTTCTGGAGCTAACTTATCTCTTGTTATATTTCAGACTGCTGACTTACATTACCTTCATTAGAAATTTTGAAGAAATACAATCTTCTTTTATTGCTTTATGGATAAAATAGTACCAGAGAGATAATCAAGGATGGACACTTAGAAAGCAGCTAAAGGAGAGAATTCTAATACTTGCCAGAAGTAATGTGTAGAATGGGGGGTTCACAAATGGGGTAGGAATCTTGGCACCAGATTTTCTGCCAATAATACAGTTAGATATGAGCCATTTTTCTCATTAGAGATAGCATCCCTTCCTCTCTCTAATAGTGGGTATAACAGGATCTGAAGGAAATTTATACCAGTTATGTTGCATGGCCATAAGGGAATTGAGCAGATTGTAAAATTAATTGTAATGGCATGTACCACTGAATTTTAAAATTTAAAAAATGTGTGGAAGATGCAATGGATTAGAAAAGAAACTTGATTATCAATGAGGATATGTCTCAGGGTAGATTAAAAGTAAATATGTAAGGCCATTCATGAGGAAAGTGTCATGAATGCATCAGTGCATATATGAAGGATCCGTAGCCCATGGTTCCAAGAGCAACTGAATCGCATCCAATTTCCATGGCCAGTCTACTTGGATAGTACCTGAGTATCCCCTTCATGAGCTACTGCCATTCATAAGTATCACAGAACCCCTTCCTGACAAGAGTATTACCTTCAGGAGAATTCTTTGGCTCTCAGATCCATCAGTGGCCTGAAAGAGACAGAATATATTGCAAGATTATATGGACTCATTCCAGTTTGTTTAACCCACTTTCACCTCATCCTTGGTCCTAGAAACTTTTTGTCACAGTTTAGATTAGGTCCTGGTACAAGTAACGGAAATCCAAAAATCATTGGCTTAAACAGGCTAGACCTCTATTTCTCTTTATAATAAAATCCTGGAAGTGGTCAGTCCATGGCTTGGGGAAGGTCATCTCTTCATTAAATCTTCAGTAACTCAGCTTCCCTCAAGCTTATGAGCCACCGTCCTTAATGTGAGGCCTTTCTTCTCATGGACCCAAATGGTAGCTTTCACATTCCACACAGCAGGAGAGAATAAAGAACCAAAAAAGAAAGGTGAATGCATGTGCCAGCTGCCTTGCCAGGAAAAGTCCCACAAGCTGCCTCACAATACCCTTGCTTATATCCCGGTGGCAGGAACTCAGTCATAAGCTGCGTAGACCTGCAAGAAGACAGAGAAATGAAGTGTGCCTTTTGGGCAAACACAGCCTGACCAAATAACCTATTACAGGGATGAAGGGGGGAATAAATATTGGAAGAAAATGTATAACCATGCCTTTCTTTTCCTTTACAATGGCACCATGGCATTGACAGGTGGAGTTTGATAACTGCCTAGGGAGGGATCTGATGCACAGCAGTCCAGCAGTTAAGGGCCTGGACCCTGAAATCCTCCTGCCTGGCTTTGAATCCAGGTCATTCTAAGATATCAAGGGGAAACAGTACCAGTACCTTCCTCTTTGAATTGTTGGGATGATTAAATTAAATGCTGAATATAAAACATAGAACGTGGCATTTAACACTTCAGGACCACTTGATAACCTTTTGCTTTTATTATTTAAAAGTAAAGTGAAAAGTTTCTGAGGGTAGAGTTTTTACATATAACTTTTCCATACATTCCTAAAATTGGGAGATGTATTTACTTTTCCAGATATGATAAGATTTGGAACGATTTACATTTTTTGTGTGTGTGGAAATAAGCTAGCATGTGCATGCTTGATTGAGGGTTGGGGTGGTGCCTAACAAACCATATGAGTGACTTCCCTATAGGCTCTGCATGTTTCGTTGACACTACTCTATAGGCTCTTGCCTCTTTATATCAGTTTTGTTGTGAAGCATATTTTCCATTAAGAATTTACAGGCTCCCCCTTTCCACTGGTATAACAAAGTGGGAATTGTGCATGGAGGTCACCCTCGGATGGAAAGGGTTCAAAGATGGCACCGTGGAGTGGGTGTGCTGTGTTCATCTGTAAAGGGATAGACGGCTCTAAATTTCAGAACTAATGTCGGTCAAAATCTAAAAATCTGGCTTGTCCTTTATTTAGAAATGGTGATAGGGGAGAAGTGGGTGAAAGCGAAGCTTGAGATTCCAACTTTGATGTGACCGTTTCCTTATGATGATAGACAACGAAATAGCTGTGTTGAGATATTTTTTTGCCATTACCTAAATGCTCTTTTGCTTCTCTCTTTTTCTTTCTTTCTCTAAGCCCCTTCTTTGTTCTGTGGGTTTTCTTTTGTAACTCCTCCAGACTACAGCTTTGTTCCCCCTTCTTCCACTCCTTTCTGGTCAGGTACTGCTTTACTGCTTTTTTATGTCTTTTCCACTTGCTTCTGTTTGCAAATAAAATATTTTGACTTCTGTGTATGGCTTCTCGTATAGATGCATCTCCCCACAAATAGTCCCTAGAGTCACATTCCCACTGTGTAGTTTCCTCTTCTCTGTCATAAAGTCATTGTTTGTCATGACATTTCATTCCTCTGGTCTTGTGTGTGTGCTCATGTTACGTATTTCTGTCAGACATTTTTGAATTTTATTTTATCTGTTGGGGGAGAGGTTGGGAAGGGTAGGGGGCTGAAAGTATAAAGTGGGGGATGAACCACTCTATTAAAATCATTAGTTTTCTTGAGGCTCAGAAATTTTAGTTGAGGAAAGCCAACATTTACATAGTCCCATTAAGAAAATAAACAGAACCAAGACCCCAACTTTGTGTCCAACTAGAAAAGTAAAGTTCGTGTTGCTTGGAAGGATGACTGTGCCCCTCAGTTTGTGTACAGGCATTCTGGTCTTAATTTCTGTCACAAGCCCGAGAATTTAATGGCTGTTTATGTGCCAGGTAGGGGAGTACATTATGGCTAGGTCAAGTATGTTTTCTTACAGATTTTTAAAAATTAACCTGTAAGTCCCAGTGGAATCATAACCTTTAGTACCAGAAAGACCTTAGACATCAGCTAACAGAGACCTTTCATTTTATAGGTGAGAGACATGTGGCCTCGAGGGTTAAAGAGACTTATGCAAGGTCACACGGTTACTCTGATGATTGGTTTTTCCATCACAGGGGTGTTTTTATGTGCACTAACTCTGAGAGTAGTGCCCCAGTAATGGGACAGGTTTCAGTAAGAAAACTATTAAAGTGGTTTGTGTTCGAACAGTAAAGTAAAATGACCATATTTTTACGCCCTTTACAGTTCTGAAATCTACAGCATTGCTATTCGTTTATCTTATGGTAGACACCTGGAGACTCAAAGACTGTCACTGTAAAGCCCCAAGTAATAGGCTAGCGCTCCCTGTCCCCAAGTGGGCAGACTCTTTCAGGCTAACACCAGTTGTAAGCTCGGCTGCCTGGGCCCTAGGAACTGTTAAAAATACAGATGTATGGCATTTCCCATTTGTTTCTTTTTCTTATACTTCCGTTCCTCTACCGTTTAAGGTTTATAAAGTCCCACCATTCCCAGGTGAGTGATTCTTAGAATCACTGCACATATAATTGAAAATACTTTATAACCCCAAGGAGCAACAGGTAGAGAAATTAGTATGAAATGTGTCACAAAACACAGAGAAGAACAAACGTACAGCTTGAACTGAGTTTTTCTTTCAGGGTAGGGCGGGTTAGGACAGGGAGTAAGTTAGCTCTTCTCCTACCATAAAACCTGAATATAGAAAATGAACACACTGACCTCTTGTATTTGAGTACATTCCTTCAGCAGAGTTTTTTATACTTGCAGTATTTGTTTGAAAGAAAGGACAAATTGATAGTGTTTATGTGTTCTTCCAGTGAAACCTCATTTCAGCTTCACATAATGAAATTCTATATAAAACAACAACTGAGTTTGTTCCCAAATAGTTTTAACCCCCCCAAAAAAGGCTGGTTGGGGGAGGAAGAGCCATTTAACTAGAAGCAATGACATGGATTCAAGAGGAGAATTTCAGAGCAAAACATTTGGTTGTTTTGAGTCTCAGTTGAAGAAATTATGAGGTAAAAATGTAAAGCTTTGACCTTAGAGGTTCTTGTTAGAAATGGATTATCATGCCATCAATAGGAAATTTATGCTAGTTATTTTAGATTCTATCTCCTTGGATAGTAATTTAGAGATTAACTTTTTTTTTTTTTTTAACAAAAACGAGTCCCTGCCTTGAGATTCTTGTGAAGAATGAAACAGAACAATGGTTCTTTAAGCATTATGAAGTGAACTTGACTACACCTGACTGAATTGAAACAGTTGTGCTGCTTTCAAGCTCCTCCACCATTATCACTAGTCTGTAGTGAAGTCATGGCTGTGCATTTTGATAGCATCTAGAACATTCATCTGAGCAGGCGCTGATGGTTGTTAAACCGCAGATCAGTTCTGACTCCCCATCATTTCTTTACAGTGCTAAGTCCAAAAGTGCTGGGCATTGCCATTGCTCGGTATGACTTCTGTGCCAGAGACATGCGAGAGTTATCCTTGCTGAAAGGAGATGTGGTGAAGATTTACACAAAAATGAGTGCGAATGGCTGGTGGAGAGGAGAAGTAAACGGCAGGGTGAGTTGACCCTCTTGAGGTGCTCATGCAGCTGAATGAAGCGGACCGGGCGGTCGTTGGCACCCCCTGTGGGGGCTGGGGAGAAGCCTTCAGCCCACAGAGCCGGGGCTCTGGAGCGTGGTGGTGGTCCTCACTGAAAACAGGCATTCAAGAAAAATACGGTGAATGGATACGATCATGGCATAAATAAAGTTCACCTGGGCAAGTTTGAGGGCTTCCTCTTTGGAAAAGGATTGAGGAACATTTCAGTTCTTTTTAGTCCATAAGCCTCAGAGCATAAATTTTATGTGGAATACAGAATATTTATAAGAGCTGCTGATCTAAATTGGAAAGAATGGGACATAGCACCCTTGTCTTTGTATCCTGTTCTAGAGCAGAAACGGGAAGCGTTAAGTAGGAGAGCCCTTATTACACTTAATTTACATATTTGTTTGCTAGCAGATTAGAACACTGCGTAGGCTTATTTTATCCCTCTGTCGCTATCATTCATGCTCTCAGGCTTCTAGGGCAGTTAAATCAATCTTCCTTACCTACAGTGGCCATAAAATCCCAGCTTAATCGGGGTGTTGTAAAAACGAAATGCTCTGTTTGTAGAACCCTTTGAAATGCCAGATGCAAAGTCACGTTGCTATGTTGGTTGCTTTTTCTTTTTTAGGTGGGCTGGTTTCCATCCACGTACGTGGAAGAGGATGAATAAATTGCACCCCAGAGTTGCACCCTGCACCAGAAATCTCAGAGGAGGGATACACAGAAGCCTGCACATCATTGGGAATTAACTGAAGTGTTTAAAAAGCCACATTTCTGGCTCTTCAACCTCCTCCCTCCTCCCCCCCTCCTGTCTTAATGCTGGGATTTCTAAAGATGCTGGGTACTGACAGATTAATGGCTTGCCTCGAGCTGTGCAAGAAACAGCCTGCCAGTCTGTCATTGTCGGGGACCAGGGCAAAGCCCAAAGCTGCTTTTCCCAAAAGAGCCCTGCAAACACATTGGTTCGTGTTCCTTTTTACTCCGTGCGGTCAGACACCATGAACGCCAGCTATTAGTAAATGTGGAACACATATTTACTTTCTTCTCACGTGCCATTCGCCAGAATTTTGGATGGTACGAAGAAGCAGAAGTTTCATTTTGTTGCTTTTCCCGGCATGAGGAAAAATTTGAGTTTTGCTGTTTGGGCAGCTTACGGGAAAGGTCCAGCACTGCTCGTGTCTTCAGTTGTCTCATAAGGTGACTCATTGCCTGGCAAACTCTTTAACACCCAGATGTGACTCATGATAAAATAGAAGAGGCAAATGCTCAGGTTTGCCTCATAAGTGACGTATCCCAGAGGGGTTTTAATTATTCATTTGATGTTCTGATTATATTTGTAAACTTCTTTATAAAAAAACATAAAAGCGAGTGTCTTCCTATTAAATTTTCACAACCTTCGTGATTTCGTAGGGTTATTTTGGAAATGTGTACTTGATGAAATAATCTGGGCTGGGTATGTTCTAGTTCCAAGTAACCTGGGTAAGGTGACGTTGTTTACAGAAATAGATCAAGGGCTGTAATTGAGAGTAAGTCATTTTATAGAAGCAACATCTATGAAAATAGGCCTTCCTGCCCCCCCCCCCCCCCCCCCCCCCCGCAAAAAAAAAAAAAAAAGACCTGGTACATATCTGCTGAATCTCACATTTTCCTGGAGTATTTACAAGCAGCACAAATAACTTTGCTGCAGATCTTGCAAGGGAAACACAGCTGGGTCCTTTATGCATTTCTGGGAGGGGAGAGTCCCTAAGGCTTTTCTGGTCTTATTTGCTGTGGGCTCCCACCTTCTCACTAGGACCTTCCCATCTGCAGGCCCTTTTGGGGTGTGTGCTAACTGACAGGAAGACCAGTTTTGCGGTGCATTTATTTGACCAAGCTTTTACTTTTTATGTGAGAAGTTTAAATATGTTCTTCCTGGGATATAGAGTCCTCAGTCAAGGCAGTCAAGTTAAGACACTAACTTGGCCCTTTCCTGATGAAATATTTTCCCCAGAGCAGAAGTCTTGTTCCAACATGATTCAGAAAGTGTTTCATGCTTGAAAACAACAAAGCAAAACATTAGAAGCATTAACTTACTAGAGCCAAACGGAACATTCGGTTCTGAAATTTTAGATCATCTTTGAAATATGAGGTAGGTGTGGCCTGCCCTCTCCCCAACCCACTTTAATGCCAGAACTTGATGTTCATTAGACACTTCCTCCTTCAGAGACCTTTGTGAGCTAGGACTTCTCAAAAGATAGATTCAGGACCTTTACCTCAGAATTATGTAAACTGTGATTGCGTTTTAGAAAAGTTATTGTTTGCTAAAACCAATTAAGTTTTTGTATATGTGTAAATGATCACAAAAATGAATTTTATAAAATGTTCTTTCTGTACAGTCAAGTTGTACCCTTGAGACGCACTCTTGGAGTGGATTCTTTCCTATGAAGTCTTATCTGTGACTGTGTCTCGGGAATGTTTTGTCTGTTACTGTCAGCCAAATGTCGTTATGGAGAAAGTCGCGTCACACAAAATGAAACACTCCTGTGTACAGTACTGTAGCTTGTACTGTTTCTTTTATTGTTATTTTAGCCAATAGCCCCCCTCCTTTACAAGTGGTGTTTGGTCTTCTCGTTGCATTTCATGGACCTGGGGGTTTCCTAGCAGAGGACATTAGAGCTCCTTTTCATGACATTACCGATTACATCTTTGTCTGTGTTTAATACTTTGTATTGGAAATTTTAAATGCTGCAGATTTGTGTAGATTTCTAATACCAAAGACAGAAGTAAACGTTTCTTTCCATATGCTTTGTCTTGCCTGTATGCTGCCATTGTGTAATATGGTGAATTAGAGAGGTATTTCACTTTGTAATATTTTGTAAATATGTCAATACAATAGTTACTACTTGCATTAAATTGATTTCTTGAGAGTTGAAGAGTCTTTCCATGAACAATTCCACAATTCAAAATATACCAGCCTCATAATAAACATGGGAATAGAAGCCCTAATTTTGATTAGAGTTAGCTCGGGATTGCTGCCTCAGTTATGACCAGTGACCTGTAGGATATGCTCGGTGGTCTCATATAATATCCACTGACATGTTTACTATGTGTCGCACACTGTTCTAAATGCTTTTTGTGGACTAACTTACAACAACTCCAGAAGGTAGAACCCTTCATTATCTCCATTTTTCCAGATGAAGAAACCAAGGCAGCACGACCCAGATCACACAGCTGGTAAGCATCGGGACTGGGGTTCTGACTTTGGCATTCTGGCTTCAGAGCCTGAAGAGCCACTACGACCCCATAGTACCACATTTTAGGAGGCAAAAGAGAGATGATAAATGTTTCTAAGATTACATAGTCAAGAACCTATTTGATGCAAAATAGCGGTTTAAGCAATTGAAGATGAACACAATTCAGGAACATTTGCCTGTTCTTGCCTCGTAGAAGAAAACCTCAAACATATTTCCTAGAGCGACTGTGTCAGAGATTGAACTTTTTCTGTCTTGATTCAGATTTTGCACAGAAAATAATGAACTGCTAAAGCAGAAAGATCCAGAGGCAAGTTTCCTTTGGCAGAGCCAGCCTGAGGATTGTCCGCGGTAGGTGGGGGCAGGCTGACTCAGAAGAGGGTGGGAGCCTGTTCTCTCTAAGGGCCAGGAAAGCCTTGTTCCCCAGGAGTAGACAGGAGTAGCTTCTGCTTGGCGTCACCAGCACAACTGCGTTCAGAAATACAAAATCCCCCTATTTCCTTATGGTACAGTGGGTTATCCAGCCCTATTCCCTTCACTTGAAGAGCCTATGCCTTTGGTGTTTTTGTTTTATCCCTTCAGTTTGACTTTTAACATTCATGTGACTTTTAGACCTATCAAATCCTCATCATCCTCACTGCCACTGAGGACTCCCTCTTTATTACTTAACATGGGAATATATGCTTTATAACATTCCCTTGTGCTTTGTCTTCCATCCAGTAATTGATAAAAACTACGTAATGATATGGATACGTAATCTCTAGGTCCGACAGCCGTACAGAAGAGCAGTGAGAACTTGGCCCCAGACATCAGAAGGCACATCTGGGTCCATATCGCATCAGGCCACACAAGGCCTCAGCCAATCATGATAACAATGACGCCTGTCTCAGAGGATGGTTGTGAGACTCAACTGAGGTCGTACCTATGCAGTGAAAGTGTGTCTGACATATCCTGAACCATTTTTGCCGTTATTATCATCACCCTTGTCAGATGGATTTGCTGGCAAATTTGGGTAGTTGCCATATTAATCTTTGAATTCCTTTAGCATAATTCAGCCTTATTTATTGGATTAAGGAGTGGAACTCTGCAGATCCTAAATTAGTCTCTGTAGGAAAGAAATTCAACCCTTTGATGTCACAGGAAGAGTGAGAGTCCTAGCATCCATCAGGTCTGGGTTCAAACCTCAGCTGTGCTGTTGACTTCTCTGAAATCAATTTCTCTTCTATAATAAAGGGATAATTATAAGTGTCTGAGGGGCTCGTATGAAAGATAAACCATAACGTGAGAAAGATGCCCAGCAGAGAGCCTGGCACATGGTGAGTACTCAAGAAGTGTTTATCTCCTCCCCTTTATGAACTATAAAATACTCAGGAATCAAGTTATATATTTGCAGCTTTTATTCTGAGTACTAGAGTTAATGCTTTTGTTTCTTAAACATGGTTTAATTTTGAGCATTCAAATTACAGATGGAATAAAAGGTGTGTGTTCAGGAAGATTAATATGCAAACCCACAAACAATCTCAGAAGATGATTTTAACATCTCCACATTATTTTCACTAGGAAAATGGAGTTTTCACCCAGCTCATTATCATTTAGACCCAGTCCATTAGTCACCTCATTTTTCATTGAGAATAGTTTTCTGGGATCAGGTGGACTCTAATTAGGAACGTTATGCCCTCATGTCTTGCAGACTTTGGAAGGCACCTTATTGCAAGTAACGGACACGTCCCAGAAAGAAGATAAAAAAGGGATCCTATCTCTAGTTAGATGCCATCAATTAGACAGGATTGGGGAAATAGTGATAGACACATACAAAAAATGTAAAGGATTCTAGACTCTGGCTCTGTCAGAAAGTTCCAGAGTTTCTAGGCACAATGCAACTAGGGTAACTCAGATATTGAGAGACTTCAGTGCAGAAATAGAATGTACACAAAAGTTTCCTTGTGCCCTGTGTTTTAATAGACACCAGGGTCCATGTTGAGTCCTGAGCTGGGGGAAGGTGAACTAAAGGATGGCCGATGTGTCCAACCCATCGTCTGCTGCCAGAGCCTTGTTCCCTTTCCCCGGCCAAGTGTGCCTGGGCAAAGCACACAAGATCTTTGTCTCTGAAAATAAAGAGGTTAACTGGTTGAATTCTGTTACTTCAATTTTAGCTCCATAGTTTTGTGAAATTCTGGTGGGTTTTTTCTTCATGTTTCAGGATAAAGAAATTCAAAGACTTCATCAAAATGTGCACATTTTAAAATACACCAGCACTAACCACGCGAGTCAAATATCTGGTTGTATTGATGAGTAATTGCATAATTATTTCGTGGCTGTAAGTGGCATGAGGGCAGCTCCATTCATCTGCCTTATTCATGTTGGTGTCAGGGACTGTTGGGGAGTGGATTCTTGTGTGGGGGCTTGTGGGCACTAACTCAAGATTCTGCGGCAGAACCACTAAGCAGGCCTTGAACTTGGACTCTAACAGTGGAGTTCCGTGTGGATGGTTACCACGAAACGTCAGAAACCACAGCCACTCGCAGGACCACTGGAGATTGGCCAGTTCTTGGCGGGTAACATGACACAACCTCTCTCAGAATTAATTGCTTGGGCACCTGTGCTCCTGGACATCACCCATAGCCACAGTACATTCGAGTTACTGCGGCATGCCCACAGGGGGCAGACATGCAAGTGAGCTACATGTAGTCTAGATTTGCCTCCTGCCAATAACAAACAGTAAACAGAAACCTCCCTGCACCTGCGACTCACAAGGTCTTTTCACAGACTCCAGGGCATCAGGTTTAGAGCAGTACCTGAAAGGCAGGTAGGCTGGCCTTGTTCTCTGTCCATCTCAGAGATGAGAAGACTGAGGCTTGGCAGAATGATCCAGCCTGCCCAAGGTCAGATCGATGGCAGCCTGCAGACTGAAACTCTTGGCAAAGTAAGGACTCAAACCCAGGTGTCCTGGCCCCAAGTCAAATAAACGATCTTTACTCTCCTCTGTGACACAGCGATGCGTGCGAGCTTCTGATTTTTCAAAATTATTTCTACAATTCCTGGGGCCTTTATCCTGGGAATCTTTCAGGGAGCTGCTACCTGCACTGTGTGCAGCTGCTGAGATCCTAGGTCAGGTGGAAATGTGACTGGGTCACAACACTTGCACCTCTTGCTGTCAGCGTGTACTGATGTGATTGAAATGTGTCGATTTTTTTTTTTAAGATTTTATTTTGAAGCAATCTCTACACCCAATGCAGGGCTCGAACCCACAACCCCAAGATCAAGAGTTGCATGCTCTGTCAACTGAGCCAGCCAGGCGCCCCTCAATTGTGTCAATCTAATAATGACTCAGAAGTTTGATCAGAGAATGTTTTTGAGTTTTTTAGTGATTTGAATGGTCTCTCCTCAGAAAGGGAAGGGTTTTTTTTTCTTGTTGTTTTGCTTTGTTTTCAGTGATAATTTAAGATCTGTCATCTTTTCCCAATTGGATATTCTATTTTTATAGTCATATGTGTAGGCAGTATACTAGGTGTTTGGTATATGTGATCTAATTTATCTCATTTAACCCTTCTAAGAATTCATTAAACACTGGTATCATCCCATCTAAATCATGAAAACTCTAGTCCTGAATGAGTCTTCCACGCAAGGGCTGGATATTAAGGCACTTTGGCCTGCTTTACTGTTGTATTTGACCTTTTTTGTCTAAGAATCAACGGGGACTAAGGGTTAAGGCCTCATGAGGCCTTAGAACCAGACTATCTGGCTCTACCACTTACTAGCTGTATGACATTGGGCAAGTTGCTTACCCTGCTTGTTTCTCTATAGTTAAGAATGGGGTGATGATAGCACCTTATTTCAAAGGGTTTTTATGAGGGTAAATGAAATGATATGTAGAAACAAGAGAGTTTTAAATTTGCATCTGGGCCACCATTTTTAATTAAAATTTTAATGTAACACAGATAAAAGTAAATGTTACAGATTTTAAAAGTTAACTCAGACATGAAAAACAAAATCTCTCTCGTATGTATATTGGCCTTTGGAAGAAGCATCTTGAGTAAATTTCTCACATTAATAATGCTTTAAGAATGAGGTGTTAGGAGCACAAATCGAACATGGTGCATGGTGTATTAGTTATCTACTGCTGTGTAACAAACTACTCCAACATGTAGCAGCCAAGGACAACAAACCTTTATTTTCCCACGTTTTCTGTGGTTCAGGAATTGGAGTAGATTCACCGGGTATTTCTGGGTCAGGATCTCCCATGAGGCTTCGATCAAGGTGTCAGCTACAGTCATTTCATTGTTCCACTGGGGGAGAATCTGCTTCCAAGCTTGCTCATGGGGGCCTCTCCACACATGGCAGTTGGCCTCTCCCAGAATGAGCTGGCCAAGAACGAGAGACCGAGAGCACTCGAGATGAAAACTAGTCTTTTTATAACTTAATCTCAGAAGTGACAGCCCATCATGTATGTTCTACTTTGTTCTTTAGAAGTGAATTACTAAACCCAGCTCACACTCAGGGGAGGGGATTGCACAAGGCATAAATACCAGGATGAAGAGATCATTGGGGGCCATCCTAGTGGCTGCTTACCACAGTAGGGTAAATTGAAAGATTATTTAAACTAAGTATGCAGTCTGTCTAAAGGGCCCAGGTTAGTTTGGAGAAAATTAGTTGACTAAAATTGAGTTCTTGGTAAA